CCAATAGTATATCACCAGGTATTTAATCAATTTAGATGAAATGCATATAAATGAAACATAAACATCAAGTATATTTCTTTCTTTTCATTTTTTTTCCTTTCCTTAATGACCCCATGTAGCCTTCTCATTCCCTCCTAAATAAAAATAACCATTATTTACACCTGTTTGCTGTTTAACACCTGACATGGGTAGCTTTTTAGTCCTAGTTGAAAGCAGGTTGAAAGAGCTGTTTCAGATGGTTCTTCACCTTGTAATCACTTCATTTTGGTTGTCCTGTCTCACAAACAGCCCTCATTAAGACCTCTGTCTTAACAACCCTTTCTGTCCCCACGTTTCTGTGATCATCTTGTCCACCACTGACCTAAGTAAGATCATCCTTTTTTTTCCTCCTTTTACTCTCTAAGCAAATACAATGTTTCTCTGTTCTGTATTTTTCTCTGCCCTTTCTCCAAAGTGATCTCATCCATTACCAGTGTGAAGTTCTCGTGTGGATGTTGATCATTTGCAGATCTACATCTATCCTTATTTCTTTTTAACCAAAGCACATTTAAAAAACACTCATCTACAAATCATTTTGGCTCCCCTGTCAGCACCTAACCCCTGTATGGTTAACACCAGGACTGCTGAATTCTTCTGTCCTTCTTCATTTGTCTTTGCTCTTGTTAATAAAATTATATCAATTTTATCTGGGCTCATATTTGTATTGATTTCTTTCAGTGCTTTCTCTAATTCATCGTTATTCCTTTTACAATACATTCCAAATCAGGTTTGTCCTGTCTACACTCCTCTGAGGTTGACCCTTCATTGTTTTAAATCTTCTGTATGATTGATTACCTTGTGTTTTTTTTTCTCTTTAGTCCATGTGCTTATGGGTCTCCAGATTGCTGTGTATGAAATAAGTCTTTACCCACAGGTTCCACTTTGGTGATTCCTTCCTTGATCAATCAAATCACACTCACACTAATTGTTTAACATTTTCAGTATTTCTGTTACCCAAAAAATTGATTATTTGGACCTACCTGTTGTTAACTTTTCCTTTCCCCCCTATGGTTTTAAATGACAGCAAAGAAAGCATCCAAATTTCGTGACTGGTTGGACTGTAGCAGTATGGAAATAAAGCCAAATGCAGTTGCAATGGAGATTTTGGCATATTTAGCATACGAGACTGTGGCCCAGGTAAGGGACTCCGCTGCTTGAACTCTAATTAAATTAAATTAATTACTCTTGGATGTACTTCAGCCTCAGTGACAGGGTTGTGAACCCCTTCAGAAGTGCAGTCACTGCTTCAACTAACCAAGCCAACTGGATTCATGGAATCAAAGAATGGTTTGGGTTGGAAGGAACCTTCAAGCTCATCTAGTTCCAACCCCCTCCTGCCAAGGGCAGGGACACCTTCCATTAGACCAGCTTAGAAATCCTGTCTGTCCTGGATGACAGATGTGGACTATACTGTACTCACCCCTCTGATACACAAATAGAAATGTTTTATAGTGGCTACAGAGGAGAGTGGAGTCCAGCACGAACTTTATTCAAGTCCAAACTGAAACCACATACTTTGCTATGTGACCTTTGGCAGTGTGCTGAGGCTCATTCAACCCCATTGCACAATTGGATTATAAAGAAGGATTTCCTGGAAAACAAAATGTTACCTTAGTGCCAAGCCGAGCCCTCTTGAGTAGATAGATTGCTCCATATATTTACAGAAGTGGAAAAGAAAGGTTCCTTAGGCTGAAATATCTCTGAATAATTTTGTTTTCAGCTGAGAAACACTAAGAATATTCTGCCTCAACCCACAACCCCTCACTCATTGTTGCAATGGCATTTGTAACCCCCCTCTGTTTTGCCTCTCCAGCTGGTGGACTTGGCCCTTTTGGTTAAACAGGACATGACTCCCAAAGCTGGTGACCCATTCAGTCATGCCATATCTGCCACCTTCATACAGTACCACAATTCTACTGAGGTAAAACTTGCTTGTTCACTTACTAATGCTTTTTGTGTTTTCCTTTCAGATGTATTTTCTTCCGAAGTAGACGTTATTGATTCTGGTATTGATACAAACTTTCTGTTGTGGAGTTTATGAACTTCGAAGTTATGGATTTAGATGGAAAGACATTAAATTATAGTTCTGAATGTTAAATTCTTAGCAGCGCCTTTATAGCTAAATGCAAATCCTCTTTTCTTGGGTGGGAATTCCTTCTCTCAGCATTCAAGGCTCTCTCTATTGCAGATTTGGAAATTGAAGTTTTCAAAATTGGCAAGTGCGCCACGTGCTGTATTGCATTGCTATAATACAGATATTCTAATTACTTCTGGAATGAGCGACCCAAATTTGGCATGACATCTCTTCTAAGAGGAAATCTAAGAAGGCAATAATTGGGGTGGGTTTTTTGTGATTTGATTATATAATGGCTGTTTGACATCTTGCTTTTATAGCCACATCTCTTAGGGCAATCTACCAGTGTGAAGACCAGTCTTGACTCTCCTGAAAACACACCACCTCCTACACCCACCCCCCCAGCATCAGCAGGACAGCAACACCTTGGGAAAACCCCATCAGGAGCCTTGGGGAATGGTGGAATTGGACAGGACTCTACCAAATCCAAACAAAGGAAAAGAAAAAAGGTATTTGGGATTAAAAAAAAAAAAAAAAAAAAAAAAAAAAAAGAAAAAGCTCTTCAGGAAATCGATACAGAATCAAATAATGGTTTGGGTTGGAAGGGACCTTAAAGACCATCTCGTCCAGGTTGTTCAGAGCCCCATCCAGTCTGGCCTTGAACACTTCCAGGGATGAGTCATCCAAAACCTTGTCTTGAGACAACCTGTGCCAGGGCCTCACCACCCTCACAGTAAATAATGGGTCTCATTTTAAATATTAATTTTAACCTGTATCACATATTAGCTACCGTTATTGTAAAGCCAAATGTGTGGTTTGGTGTTTTTTCCATCAGAACTAGGCTAAAGCTTCCCTGCAAACTGAGTTTTGTTAAGGTAACAATTGCTGCTGCTCAGATAACCTGCTCTTCTACAGCGACAGCAGGAGTCACCACCCCAAATCACCATCCCCTGCTCTGGCAGTGGCAGTGAGCATAGGTTTTAAGTGTCAAAACACAAGCAAAAGAGAAAAAGAGGTGCTTGTGATTTTCCTACTCCCAGCAGCCTGTAACAACTCTGCCTGACTTGCTTTATTTTTATGCCAGTTTGTTGCATTCAAGCTAAATATTTGTTTACTTTGCATAAAATACAGATATTTCGTATGCAGAGTGTGAAATGTAAATGTTGCAATTCTTGTCTGCTGTTGTAGAGTCTTGGTGTTCTGTCTGAGAGGGATATATGTACCTTAAAACCACAAGGGAAATAGATTTGATTAAATAAACTGGATAGGAAGCCCTGTCTCAGTCACTTGGGGTTGTTTTGAAAAAAAATGTGATGTCAGTGCTCATTCTGCTTCAAAGCAATGGAGTGACTTGGGATTCTATCATGTGTTTTATTATTAAAAAATACTCATTTTTCAGAGTAAACTTGGTGATTTTTACAGTAATAGACAGAAAAAGATGTATTTTCTCCTTCTTTCTCCTAATATGTTCAACTTTATGGTTGTCCTTATACTCCAGTTAGAAAGCTATTAGTGAATCCTAAAAACCTTTCAGAAAACTTCTGATTTTCCTCTTCCTTTTTTATATTACATTTGATTACGTTTTGTTTCTGTGGCTGATTTCCATTATCATTCCTAGGACCAGGAATTCAGCTGGCAATCTAGTTTTTGATACATTATATTTTGCTGGTGTTATGAGTTTATTTTAAATTCTTAGTGTTTTGCTTAATGCCTTTTAAAACAATTGTATTCCAAAAAGTGCACAGTTTTAAGGAAAAGCTCTCCTGACTTATCCAATTTGGTTAGGTATCTACTGGATATAACTGAGGCATTGAGACAAACAAGTTAACTTGGTGAAGAATGTTATTTTTAGGCTATGAAGGCCCAGTCCAGCAAAACATATTTGAGTTTCATATTTCCTTTATGAGTGTCAATCAGCAAGGGAAGAATCTGCCATCGTATTATGAATAATTCTGTGTGTACACACAGGCTCCAGTGGACTCAGCACTCTGGAAAATAAAACATTTCTCAAAAAAACTATCCCCAATCTGAGAGCATTAGTGTATCATGTGAATGTATGAGGGGACTGTCTATGTATGTTCATTAAACTTAAGTGTATAACTTAACTTTTTGTCATTCTCTGTGCATTCACTAATATAATTTTCATGAGTTTGTTGCCAAGAAGCCATCGTCTGATAAGTCATCTGAATTCTGGCAATTTAGGTGGAGCCTAAAACAGCATTTCAGATTGACTAACCAGGAGAAAAGAGTAACTTTTTGTTTTGAAATCCTGAGGAAACTTTTGTACAATCAGTGCCCCCCCACCAGTGAGTTCTTCTTTTTGTCTGTTTACGGTCCATAATCCAAAAATTCATTTGAAATTTGAAAACATTCCAAGTTGAGGTAATTATTTTTTTTTTTTTTTTGCTTCCTTCTAACACCATTATGTCACGTTTCAGCTTCAAATTTCAGTCTGATGTTACTCAATGGTGATTTTGGTGTCAAATTGCTTTCCACTTAGGGTGCTTGTTCAGTATTTTCCCCACCCCTTGACATCATAATAAGATCCTGAAATGTTTTAAAAATAGTTTCTGTGGTTATTGCAGTGTGACTTATATGACCCTCTCATTTTAGTTTGAACATTTTCTGCTCTTTTCAATTGCAACACACAGCAGCACTAGGTGAAAGATTTAAGAGGACAAACATGGTGTTCTTTGGGTCTCTTAAGCAAAGTTCATGTAAAAGTCCTCTTTAATTTGTTAATAGCTTTTTCTCTCTAATGTAATGTGTGGCAGCAATGATGTGTATCCTCAGGAAAAAAAAAAAAATTGCTCCATTTTATAAAGGTTTATTTTCATGCCTTATGCACTGTAGGTCTGTTGTGTGTTTTTGATTTAGTAACAATTTATGTGTTTTTCTGTTGCAGAGCACTGCAGCCTGTGGTATAGAGGCTCAAAGTGATGCCATCCAGCCCAGCCACATCAGAGAGGCCATTCGACGCTACGGCCACAAGATTGGCCCCCTTTCCCCATTCACAGTATGTAATAACAGAGTTATAAAAAGTTATATTTATAATCTTAAAGAACTTTGATTTTCAAGTGGTCGAATGAAGAAGCTTTGGAATTGTTGAGAGCAATTTGTGGTGACTGTAATTTTCTTTATAAAAGTGGCATAATTCTCTCGGGAAATAAAACTTAGTAATTTCTGTCTCTTTTTGGAAGGACAAAAAAGTTTCTTTTTTTCCTTTTAAATATTATTTTCTTTCAATTACAAATTATGCTTTTTTGTTAGTGCTTGAATCTTCTGTTTTTCCAAAGTTTAGGTTTACAGTTATTTTAAATTATATGTATTGCAATATGGTGAAGAGCACTTTATATTCTAAAATTAGTTGTGTGTCAGATACTGCTCCTATTGGAAGCTGAACTCTCAAGTGTCACATTTACAGTTGGAGAAAGAAGAGAATGGTTTCTTTAGACAACTTTGAACCTCCACTGAAATGTAATAGAACTGAGCTTGTGGTAAAACACTGATGGGTTCTGAGGTTTTGCCATCATTTTTTCTATGCAAATTGCAAATCCATTGTTCAGAGCAGCCAAACGAATTCTTTATTTAATTTTCTCAGCTGATGAAAATGTGAAAGCAGTCCATCTCCAGTGTCATAAATTGGGGTTATTTTCTTCTCATCTGCTCCTCCAAGTGGCATAAATCCTGCTTACCTCAGAATATCTACATTTGGGAAGCAATAAATGTCAAAGAAATCATTATAGGAAAAACAAAACAAAACAAAAAACCAGTAGAACTGAGCTTTTAAAAATCAGGAAGAAACTGTCCAATTTTTAAGAGATTTTAGGAAAAGAAAGTTATTCTGAATTTGGAGGACGTTCATCTATATAAAAATTAAGTGTATGAAGACCATAAATATCAAAGAAATAGTGGCCTCTGACCTCAGAAGTGAGGAACAAAAAAAAAAAGAAAGTAAATGAATATGTGAAGTAATAATTTTCCTAACGTCAAAACTGATCAATGCTTTTATAAATGACAGTGAATGTTTGGTTTATTAATGATAGGCAATACACATTTGCAATTAATTGTCTTTACATAATTTTACCTCTCAGAAATGACAGATTAATATCGTGTAAAGCATAGGATAGAATTTCTAGTCCAAAACAGAAAAATATCTTTAACAGAAGTGTGCTAAGAGATGTAGCTAACAACATGGCAATAGCTTCTGAAAGCAGAGAATGTATTTAACTTTATTATAAAGAAGTAAAAAGCTCAAATAAACAGTTGCAGAAAGGTGAGTCTTCCTTGCCTGACCCTTACTAAAAGTGGTTTGGTCAATTATTAACCAAAGTTTAACTTTTTCTGCAACCACAAGTTATAATAAAATCCTCTGGTTTGGGTTGGGGTTTTTTTATGTCCTCCAATCTCATGAATTTCCCAAAACAGGGCAGCTAACTGAACAATTTAATTTGTTAACATTACTTACTGTCAACGTGGTTGATGAGATGAGCAGATCTTGTTCCCTCTCAACAAGCCAAGAATGAGAGGGAATCTTGGGTCAGCTCCTGGATGCATTCAGATGTTGTAGGGCTGTAATATGATCCTACTTTTAATGAGAAAGCTCAGGAAAAGCATTTTGAGAGGTATTACAGAGTATGCATTTAGGTCTGTCCATCTGCCCACTTCTCTCAGTGCCCTCATTGGCAGCTTTGGGGATAACTTTGCTATCACACTTGTCCTTGCAATAATCATGACCTTTGTGTCTTAATTTGGCAGAAGTGTGGATAGAGCACTGAGTAGCCTCTGCAATCTACATAAAAAAAACTTCTGCAACAGATAGACTTCAATGATGGAGAGGTCTGATGGCATGTGTCTAACCAAACATGAGGAGTGAGATTAATAGCCCTACCACAGATTTTTATATAATCAGACAAGGCCATTTCCTCAGATCTCAGACAGGAACTATGTGACACAGTCTGTGTAGGTACTGAAAAACTTTGGCATTATATTAGAAGTCTGAGTCTCTGAGGGAAGAACTGTATCAGAAGGACTAAAACCCTTCCCTATCTCTTTGCAGCCACTATAATGGATATTTTTGTGGATCAATGTAATAACCAACAGGCAGGCAGTTGTCAAGGGCCTGCTGTATTCAGAAAGTTCGTATCTCAACTCAAACCAGTAGGGGATGGGTTTTCTAACTAGAAGAATGCAATCTAACAATCAGGTGTTATCCTACACAAAGATGGGTGATGTGGAAAGACAGCCACCAATTGCATCCCAACAGTAGTTAGGGAAAAACAGACTTGAGGAATGAAAAAGTTTTGTGTGCTGGTATGTCTGGATAGAGAATTGTGTCAATGGATTCATCCACTGTGTGGATTTGAATGGAAGTAAGTCCTTGAAGGAGGAGACGTTATTTTTGTGTAATGGATTTGCAGGTATGATTTGCTGTGGTTCTATGATATTTTGATTGTATATTTTCCATTCTGCCCATCTTTTCTCAGTTTTTTCAGACTCTTATGGGGGAGAGAGAAACAAAGGGCTGTTCTGGCAATTTGGCCAATGCAAAATACTAAGCAATTATGGCTAAAATCCACATGCCTGGGAATCATAATGGTTTTTTAGTACTTCAGGAAGGTGCTATTCCTGAATACACCATGAGTCATTTGTATTCAGCATCCAGTGTTTAACTGGGTCTGTATCTAAGTTGACACTTACTGGGTTAGTGTCCTGGTGTGCTTTGCTTCTATGTGTGAAGAGGTTTCCCAGAAGAATCAAGTGTGTTTCCTAAATGCACCTAAATGATGAGCTGGTGACTGTTTAGCCCAAAACCACTTATGTCACTATCTGAAAATTAATTTAAATTGTTCTAAGTGAATTAATAAGTATTTCAGTACTGTTAGGTAACTATTGGTTTTTTTAGAGGGACATTTTTTACAGAAATGGAGATGCTGAGTATTTTCAGGCATTAAACCAATTGCAGAGGTGAACAGCACTAATAGCAATAATATCTGGCATAACAATTTATAACATGTTCTTACGGACATCTCAAACTGCAAACTTTTTGCTGGCAATGTTCATTGAAATATCCTCTTGATATTCATGGGGTAATATGTGACTTCCTCTCTTTGGCAATTTTCTCTGCAAGAAAAAGCCTGTGAGCCACGTGTTCCACAAGGAATTCTGTGTGGCAAGGGTCTCTCACAGTCAGCAAGCATCCTGGGATGCATATTCAAAGAAATTTTGCTTTGTTTCTTCTCTTCCCTTTCCCTCATCCCTTTACCTGGTGTCACAGGCCTAAGATGCAACACGTTTTTTCAAATCTTTCCCTGTTCTGCTGTTTAATCATGATCGTCCCTCTCTTCCATCTGATTTGGTCATGAGTGTTCCTAATGAGGCAGTTTTGGAAGAAGAGTTGGGCTGGTTGATTTATTCTTTAGTGGCATTTGATGGATGTTGGTTTGAACAAAAAGAACACTTTGAAAGTTTTATAATCATATGGTAAATGAGAACTAACATTAAACTAGTGAAAAGGATCTGTTTGCATTTATTTTGACCTTAATAGCTATGTCAAAATGACTAACGTAATTAGAGCATTTAGGTTTTGTCTCTAAGTGCAAGCCACAAGGGAAAGCAGCAAGTGTACTCTGGGTTCTTCTGCACTGTATCATGACCAAGGTAGTTTAGACATACATTTTATCCATATATTTTCTATTAACAGTATTGGGTGATGCTCAGTGTTTCCTGCTCTAAAGCATTGTCCAGACTTGCAAGAAGCAGAGAAATGTTTAAAAGTAGTGACATATAATTTTGCAAGACAGGAATGGGAAGTATGGAACTCTGCATCTTGTGGAGTAATGTAATTCCATATGCTGGATCTGTGTCTATTAAGTGCATTTGAGTTACAAAAGTGTATAGTGAGAATGATATGCAGTCTTGACTGGGCCTGTAGGAATAATCCTAATATTAATTCAAATAATATTCAAAATAATAGTATTTATTATGCCAAGGTATTCACAAAAATATAGATATATGGAAATATGGATATTTCTTACCAGGGATACAAGCAAAATGCAAGCATAATATCTCAGGAGAAATTATTTTATTTGAATTGATTGTATTTCAAACAGTTGGGGTAACAAACAGATAATTCTTTAAGAGTATTTATTCTGTGAGCAATATACAGTGCTTACCTGAAATCTTCATGTGAGCAGTTGTAAGTGGTACATGAACAGTTTGTAAGCAGTACTTGTGACCACGAGATCAGCTCTAGTAAAAAGTACAGCTGGGATCCTCTTCTCTGAAATTAAAAAGTGGTCTCTACAGCAGTGGAAGATCACAGGCAAAAAGAAGAAGAAAACGTTTCCAAAGCAGATTCTTTGTCTTTAGTTTATGCCAGTTGTGAAACAAAATGCTTCAGATGTTTAGTTAAGAGAAGCTGAGTTCACCAGTGTAAATTGTAACCCTGCACAGGCTGCAGACAGTGGCCATTATTCAGCAGTGTGTGTGTGTAAATGGAGTGGATTGAATGAACAGAGGTATAACCAACATTTCTTTGGATATTTATGTTTTGGAGGGAATGCTCCTTCAGCCTCCAAGGCATTTCAGTATGAAAAGGCCTGCTAGTCTAAACCTCCTCTTGTTAAATATGTCAGTCTCATAAAATTGCCTATGCAGCATAAAACAATTAATATTTACAAATCCATGTTTATGATACTGTTGTGACATTCCCTGCACAAAGAACATGTAACACCAGAGAATGTGATTTGGTAGAGACTTATATTATTTGGGTCTATATTATTTGGCCCTGCTTATACTCTTGGAGGTTCTTAAATAATTAGTGCAAGTATCCTATGTAGACTTCAGTATGTTACATGCACGTGTAAATCATAATTTCACAGTCAAATTATATACTTAGTCAGGACTTTTCACTTCTAATGTTTTTTAAAGTGCTCATTTTTGATCCTGATTGAGCTCAGCTTTTATGCAAATACTTAAATCAATGTCTGAGGTGAAAAACACCACAGTTCATCA